CGCACTCTTTGCACACTGTCAAAGAATCATTGTACACAAAATCAACTTTGTTCAAATCAAAACAAAAAAACTAACCCATCTGGTGGATGATGGCACAAGCTTCCAAGAAAATTCTTTTACAGTGAACCACATTATTTTAATGGATTTCTTCGCCAGTAAGTCGTCTGTCACTTCGTTTGTGGTATTAGCAACATAATTTCAGTGCTAACATTTGAAAACGGCGCAAAAGCCATTTGTAAACAAATGGTTTATGGGCCCTTTACTCGCTACCCGAAGAACGCCCACGCAAACCAACAGCATCGTCAGGAAGGGGAAAATTTCCCCTACCCGATGTTGCTGTTATGTCGCGTGGGTGTACTTCAAGTAGTGAGTAAAGGGCCCACAAACCATTTGTTTACAAATGGCTTTTGTGCCGTTTTAAAATGTTAGCACTGATTTTATATATTTGTAGTTTTGTTTACCTCCTCCTCCTCGGTGGTGTGTACGAATGCGAATACTTGCGACTGTGACAGCTTGACAGCTTTTTACTGGGTGTCCAGCAAACCGTTTATGTTAGCTGAATTTGTTGACTGTTTTTCAGTAAAACTTTTGTGTTGCTGACCATGATCCAGAAAACCGTTTTACTGATAATGAAAACTAAAATTTGCTGTGTACACACCAAAAATTGGAATCGAGGTCCAGCAAAATGGATTGCTGAACTGCTTCCAGCAGAACTAGTTTTTACCGTGTTTACTGAACAAACAGCAATCCTGAAAATTTTGCTGGACGATCAGTTGATTGTATCATCTGTCAAACTTTCGATCATTTTTTTTTTTGCGTTTCACATTCTTTTGACCTTTATATTCAGAAATAGCAAGTCGGGTAGAAAGTTCCTTTTTTTAATAGTATCATCGTGCAATTATGAAGTAAGTTTATGAACTTTATCATTGAAACAATACGGCAATACTTTTATAGTTGATTTCAGAGCAGTCAAGTGCTAAATCAGTCGGGTTTTGTCTATACGACTGTTACAAAATTTTAGCCGCTAATATTCTCTTATATTTGCCCAATAAATAAACGAGTCAAAGTAATAATTGAACACCGAAACCAAAAATTAGGTTCAATTTAAAAACAAATCATATTGCTGGATATACAGCAAAATAATTGATGTTTAGTTTTGCTGAAAAAAATCAGTGAAATATTGCTGTTTATATGGTAATGAGCTGTCACTTCCACGTCATCTTGTTTTGCTGGTCGTTCAGCTATAATATTTTGCTGGATGGATTGTTGAACTTCCAGCTCGGAAAAAAATCCAGCAAAATTTTGCTGGTTTACGGCAATAAAAAATAGGTAATATGGGTATTTTTTTAATCGAGGTGTTGTCTAGAGGCCGGAAATCGATATTCAACCAAGTAATATACGCCATTTTGGATTCCAAAATGGCGGCATTTGGGTTAAAAAATAGTGGAAAATACCCTATAATATGGGTATTTTCGGAACGGGGACGAGGTGTAGATACCGAAAATCGATGTCCGACATCATTTTGGAATCAAATCGGTTTCAGAAAAAGTGGAAAATACCCATCAGTATGGGTATTTTCGGAACGGGGATGACGTGTAGATGTTAAAAATCGATGTCCGATGCCAATTTGGAACCCAAGATGGCAGCCATTGGTTTCAAAAAGAGTGTCAAATGCCCTACAATATGGGTATTTTCGGATAAGAGACAACGTGTAGCGGCTGAAAATCGATATCGGACACCTAATTGTAATCCAAGATGGCGGCCATTGGTTTATTAAAACCTGTGAAATTCCTTACAATATGGATATTATCGGAACGGGGACAACACGGAAGGCCAGCAATCGATGTTTGACGCCATTTTGGAATGCAAGATGTTGGCCACCTATTTTAGAAAAAGAGTTAAATATTATACGATATGGTCATGATCCTGAATTCCAAAATGGCGCCGGACATGAATTTTCGGCATCTAACTGATGTCCCTGTTTCGAAAATTCCCACTCTTCTATTTACCCCCTTTTTTTGAACCTAATGGCCACAATATTGCATTCCGAAATGGCGCCGGACATTAACTTTCGGCATCTACACCTCGTCCCCGTTCCGAAAATACCTATATTGTAGGGTATTTTTCACTCTTTTTAACCCCATGGCCACCATCTTGAAATCCAAAATGGCGTCGAATTGCGATTTTTGGCATCTACCTGTCGTTCCCGTTCCGAAAATACCCATATTGATGAGTATTTGCCTCTTTTTCTGACCCCAATGGCCGCCATATTGGATTCGAAAATGGCGTCGGACATCAGTTTTCGGCATATACACGTCGTCTCCGTTCCGAAAATATCTATATTATAGGGTATTTACAAATTTTTCTGAACTCAATGGCCGCCATATTGCATTCCAAAATGGCGTCGAACATCATTTTCAGGCATGCACACGTCGTCCCAGTTCCAAAAATACCCATATTGTAGGGTATTTGCCACTTTTTTCTGAACCCAACTGTCGTGACCGGAGTGAGGCTTCACCTTTGTCAGAAATATCAACTTAACCATAAACTTGGCTTTTCGATCATCTTAAAACTTGATTTCAATTATTAAAATTAAATTAAAATTTTAATATTGCCAATAAATTACTATGCTGTTGTCAATCATTATTACCATCAATTCAATATTGCTAATATCTACTACGTTAAAATCAGCGTCATCCGGTTGTTTATTTCAATCTATTTATTTATTTATTTGTCGTCAATTAATTTTGATACAATCAACAGCTACAGTACACTTCAACATTATCAACAATAAAGTTAGAATCTTCAATAATTTAATCAACTTTTCTCACCACATTTGAATTGTCTTACAATTTTACTCAGAATTATCATAAAGTTCTCTTTCCGAAAATCTACGCTATCTACACACTAAGATTATTTTACAGATTTCTGTAAAATTTTACCGAAATCTCAACAGCTGAACGTTCGGTAAACAATTTTACAGATTTCCTGTCATTATTTACAGATATCTGTGAAAAATTCACAGATATTTGTGAAAAATTGCAGGAAATCTGCGAAACTGTTTACCGAACGTTCAGCTGTTGAGATTTTGGTAAAATTTTAATAATTTTTCGGTAAAACTAAAAAAAAATTGCCAATATTCGGTAAAATTTTACAGAAGTAACGGTGATCTGATTTTTTAAATGACGAACCCTTTAAAAAAAATTACAGTTCGAACCATAAAACATAAATTAGATTACCGAGCTACGGTATGTACAAACTGTCAAATCGTGAAGAAACTTTATTTGTAAGTTAACCGTGCTTCGAGGATAAACACCAACTTAAAGTGCTGATGAATGGAACGAGGTGCAGTATTATAAACAAAAGTATTTTGCAACAAATTATTCACTTAACAACTACTATTTTATAGACCGAAGAAATTTTTACTATCAAAAATACAATGCCACCCGTTCTATTTGTCAGAACTTCTGACTCAGAAGACTATTCTTGGAGGGCACAAACGAGGTTTCTCCTGCTCGCAATTTTCATCAAGCCAATTTCCATTTCAAATATCGCACCAAATCCTTCTGGCAAAATTTTCACAATAAAAACTATCAAATAACTATTATTGTAAAAAAGATAATTAATATAAATTATTATAAAAGGATAATACAAATTAATCGAAAAAAGTAGTAGAATTAAAAATGATTTCTCGTTCTCGTTTAACGGAAGTTCGGTAATAGCTACCGAATTGTTCTGTAGAAAATCACCGAATTGTTCGGTAATTTTGAGAGAAAATCCAAAAATCTGTTATTTCGTTTACCGAACTGATTACCGAACGATCAGCTGTTGAAAGCTCGGTAAAAAATTACCAAATACGATAATAATTTATTAGTGCGTAGAAATTCTTTTCGAGATGCCATTGAAATTAATTCGATTCCTTAATATTCCACACGGATCTTGGAATCCTTCACAATGGCCATGAACATTTTTACAGAGCAACTTTAAAAAATTGCTCTGAAATCACTCACTTGACTAGGAATTCTGAAATACCGTGGTATTTTATATAGAGTTCATTCTAAAATCTACACAGTTTCTTTAAAAAAAAAAAATCGGAAGTCTCTTAACAGTTTTTCAAAATTGCTGTACCATGAAAACCTAGTCCAATGCATTTTTCATGGTACAATTTTTTTTTATATAACATAATCGGCAACATGAAATGAAGCTAATTTTATTATTTACTTCACCTACATTTTCGCCATCATTTTCAAAATAATCATAAACAATTCCGTTAACTTCACTTCCACACATAGGTACCAGAAATTATGATCTCAATTCTGCCATATTTGTCTTTTTTGAGACATTAAAACAAAACAAAATTTCAATCAACAATAGTAATAACAATGAATACCGCCAAAATATAAAGCAATGAATTTTTGAACCTGAAAACTCATCGGTGATTTTTGCGACGTTGATGTTTTTTTTGTATTATTATTAATTTATTTGATAAGGCTCAACCGAATTAACTTTACAGAGCCGAGGATACTTGTTCACTATACAATACATCTTAAAACTATAGTTAAAAGGTACAACACAATAAACATTTTATCTTCCGCTATCCAATAAGCTTCCTCCACCAGAACGGGAGCTGCTTCCAGTGGTTTACTTGTATGGCAGATTCACCAACGAGAGTCAGAGCGCTTCCATTGACGCAAAATGTGGTCAGCACTCACACATTCAACACGAAACGGTTGCCTTTCAAAGTCGTCGACGCATCGACTGAAAGAAATGCTGATGAAGAACAATGAGGAGGACCACACAATGGTTGCTGCCGAGTAAACAGACGATCGCCTGACACATATTAAGAGTGGTATGCTTCTGTCGACAGCCGCGTGAATACTGACGTTGAATTTTGCAAGGCAAAACTCATAAGCGCATAAACTCATGCATGTTTTAAGGCAATTCTTTAATTTGCAAGCACATAATTCATGGCAGTTGTCATCCATCAACAATATAATTGATTTAACATTTAAATGTTATCTTTATTGTACACACACATTCTTAAATTCATAATAAACTACAAAGGGGAACCTACGCTAGACTTAGTTGTAAAACCTTGCTACAAGATCTCTCGAAAATATCACTTTCTTTGGTGTCAATTGCTTTGGCAGTGGTGTCTGTTACTGCTGTGGCAGTACCTGACTTGAAAATTGTCGTTGTTTTTTTTTTCGATTTCATGTATTCAAATTAATACTGAAATCAATTTATCCTAAGCTAAAGTATACTTCTTTTTTTTTAAATTCACTAAACGACTTTGTCTTACTGGAAGCACACTGCTCCGATTTCTATCCAGAACTGTTGATTCAGCTCACCGACATCCCGTACGGCAATATCGATTACCGGCAGCCTCGTTGGTTTCTCCGTCTTATAGGTTAGGATCGTTTGAGCATACGTAGACATTCGATGCTGACACTCGTCCAGAGCGGTTTCGTATCGCAGCCTCTGGGGTCCCCTCGCCGTGAGTTCAGCATCGTTCCACGCTAGAAGCTTCAAGCTCTGACGGTAGCTGTTCTTTTCCTTGTCGAAATACGCTACACTGTTCTTGCAGTGATAGGTTATGTTCTGGGAGGCCGATCCCGACAGCAATTGCAGGAATCCGATTTGGTTACTATCAGCCTTATAGGTTATCTTCATTCCGGTTTCCATCTCTCCTAGCCACACTTCATGCTCATCGCCGACGTAGTGCAGTTCTTTGGTCCGCAGTGGTTGCGGAAGAATACAGGATGATCTTTTCTCAGCATCACAATACACCAGGATAGCATCCCGAACATCACCTTCATTCGGATCAATCCAGTAATGGCCAGATTTATACTCCGGATAGGCAGCGAACAGGTCTCTGCAAGTTTTGGCAGGCGATGTTTTTTTTCCATCTGGTTTCTTAAATGTATTGAATGTGGTCTTCAGTCGTTCAAAAGCTGTTTCCACTAATTGTCGTCTCTCATCTTCGGTTAGCTCAAATACTTTGTTGAACTTCATTGGTTCATCGCCCTGGTTCGGATCAGGTCCCTTAGTATTGCTCATCTGTCCATGGCCAAGCAATGCAGCCAAAGCTGCAGCATCATACCCAATTCCGTCACCTGGTGGACCGGGAGGTCCTGGAGGACCCGCTGGGCCCACTGGTCCAGACTTTCCATCATTTCCGGGAGAACCACGGGGTCCGACAGTACCTAACATTCCTTGTGGACCTGGTGAGCCATCTCTACCTGGAGGACCTCGTGGTCCAGATTCTCCAGGTTTACCAGGTTGACCAACAGATCCAGTATCACCCTTATCTCCAGGAGAACCAGCAGGACCAGGCAATCCTTGCAGACCAATTAAACCTCGATGACCTTTCACACCCTTTGCTCCAGCTTCTCCTACATCTCCCTTTGATCCTTCTAACCCTGGAGGTCCAGGTTTTCCGCGAGGACCTGAAGGGCCATCGATACCTTGAGGACCTGTTTCGCCACGCAATCCTCGTTCACCAGTTTGACCGATAAGACCTTGTGGTCCTGGTGGACCAGGAAGACCAGGAGTACCAGGCATACCTTGACTACCAGGAGAACCGACCGGTCCTTTATCACCAGTTCGGCCAGCAATTCCTGATGGACCTTGTTTACCAGGCGAGCCTTCAATACCCGGATCTCCAGCGTGACCTTGAGGACCAGGTGGTCCAGCAATTCCCATCTGACCCGGTGGCCCATCGTTTCCAGGTTTACCAGCTTGTCCGGGTTCTCCAGCAGCACCCCGGAGACCTCGGGCACCAGATTGACCTATTCATTACAAGAAGAAAAAAATGGTCATATAAATTTATCATAAGTATAAGCATAAGCATAAGGCTTTTCTTACCACTTGGTCCTGGAAGACCAGGCATTCCACGATCTCCATGGGGGCCTTGAGGACCTGGATTTCCTGGTGGACCTGCCGGACCATCACTACCAGCCGATCCCTTGATTCCCTCTGGCCCAGGCTGACCCGGCATTCCTTAAAATTGAATCAACTGAATATATGAGAATTCTGATACATATAATATAATGTTTGGGCTAACCTTGAGGTCCAGGATTTCCAGATCTTCCAGTGTCTCCTGGATTTCCCTTGATACCAGGAATTCCTGCAATTCCTGCGGGACCCTGGTTTCCTGGTTGACCCTACAATATATTTTGATGTTACTATGACATGAATTATGTCTGCAATATTCATGACTCTTACCGCTGCACCTTGATCACCGGGTCTTCCAGGAGAACCCATTGATCCCGTTTCTCCACGCAATCCTGGTTCACCACGAGTGCCCTTGCTGCCAGTCAACCCAATTAAACCTTGAGGTCCTGTCTCACCAGGCATTCCTGGATTACCACTGTTTCCTTGTTCTCCCTTCAAACCCATTGAACCGCGATCTCCTTTAGGTCCAGGCAGTCCGCTTGTGCCTTGTGGCCCAGGGAATCCATGCAAACCTTGTGGTCCGACTGGTCCACGTTCACCAACTGCTCCTGGTGTCCCTGGTTCTCCTGGAATACCCGGTGTACCAGGTTCTCCCTTCTCCGCAGGCTCTCCCGGGGGACCCGTTGGACCCATTGGACCTTGAAGACCTCGTTCGCCCTGTCGACCTGCGGCACCTTCAGGACCTACTGGACCTAGAGCCCCTCGCTCTCCCTTTTCACCAGATGGACCCGGAAGACCTCTCAATCCTGGCATACCAATCATACCAGGTGCTCCTTGATGACCTTTCATACCAGCTGGACCTGGTGAACCCTGTCAAGTAAAATATAGTTCAATTTATATTAATTTCGCTAAAATAATATTTTCCCTACCGGTGGGCCGTCATTTCCTTGAGCACCGTGCTCTCCTCGAAGACCTGGAGTTCCTGGTGTACCGACTGGACCTCTTTCTCCTGGGAAGCCACGCTCGCCTCTGATACCAGGCTGACCGGCTGGACCAACTGGACCTGGTTGACCAGTTTGACCATCTTTTCCTGGCGCTCCCGGATTACCGGGTGTTCCCGGTAGGCCTTGGAAGCCTCGTGGACCTAACAAGGATGGGATAATTTAATGATGTTTCTTAGGACACGAGCATAACTCTTTCTTACCTCCAGGTCCTGGAGGGCCACGATCTCCATCGTTTCCATGTGGACCTGGTGGTCCTGGAATTCCCGGTGGACCATCCTTGCCGGCATCACCACGTGGTCCTTGTGCTCCTTGTGGTCCAATATCACCATCCTTGCCAGATTCTCCAGGGAATCCTTATGATAAGATGACAGTGTTATTGATTTTGTTATTTTTTTGTATAATTATCGCATTTACCTTTATCTCCAGGAAGACCTATTGGGCCTGGAAGGCCTTGCAAGCCTTGTTGTCCTGGCTCTCCAACCTAGCAAAAAATTTGTATTTTACATTCATGATTCCAAAATTTAAAAAAAAAGCTATCTTATACCTTTCCATCGGATCCCGCAGGTCCACGTTCTCCCGGTACTCCTGACTTTCCTTGAGCACCCGGTCTACCGGCCATTCCACGCAATCCTTGAATACCTGGTTGACCAGGAGGTCCTGGGTCTCCAGTTGAGCCTTTGTTACCCTGGGGGCCTAGAGCACCTCGATCTCCGCTTTGTCCTTTAACACCTTGGGCTCCATCTGGTCCAGGTAAACCGGGAACACCTGGCAATCCTCGCTCACCCTGAGGACCTGTCAAACCGGTGGGACCTTTCATACCACGCTTGCCTCGTTTGCCTTCTGGACCTACAGCACCGGGTAATCCTCTCGGACCAGGTACTCCTGCTTCGCCTTTTATTCCTGAGTCTCCTTTGTAGCCTCGTTCTCCGGGTAGACCCTAGATGAAGGCAGATTATAATGTATTTTGAAAATAACTAGGTTGGCAAATTGTTCTTTACTGGTTCTCCTTTGATTCCCGTTTCTCCAGGACTGCCATTTGAACCTGGTGCTCCTCGGGGTCCAGGGAAGCCAGGTTGACCAGCCATACCCGGTGCACCACTGGATCCCTTCTCACCAGTAGCTCCATCCTTTCCTGGTGGACCATTCAAACCAGGTTCTCCAGGTTGACCTGGTCGTCCTGATTCACCACGAGGGCCTTGAGGACCTTGACTGCCTAAAATGAAGATTCTAAAATCAGCTCACGGACTGCCAAGGGCAAATAAATCAAACCTTTGGGTCCTTGTGCTCCCATGTCTCCCTTGTTTCCAGGTGTTCCGGGAAAACCTGGTGGGCCTGATTTGCCAACTGGGCCTGGTTGTCCTGGAGGACCTGCGATGCCATCGATACCTCTCAATCCAGCAGTCCCTGGTGGTCCTTCACGTCCTCTTTCACCGCGTGGTCCTGCTGGTCCCTATTTTGTAGGACAAATTTTTAGATTATCAAGATATGAAGAATATAAATTTGCAATCTTACTATCGCTCCTGGTGCACCAATTGGGCCAACCGATCCTACTGAACCCTTTTCTCCGGGTGTACCTTGATCACCTTTCGGACCATCCTGACCGAGTAGTCCTTGATGCCCTTTCATGCCAGGCACTCCTGGTAATCCAGGTAATCCTCGTGGACCGGACTGTCCAACGCTTCCTTGCGGGCCTTGTTCACCGTCGTCTCCCGGAGCTCCATCTTTTCCTGGGGGACCCGGTAGTCCTCGTGGGCCGGAAGGACCTGATACGCCGGTTGGGCCAGGCTCACCTGGCTCTCCTCGTGTTCCCTGGAAACCTTGAGGTCCAGCAACACCCGATGGACCCGGGGGACCACGTGGACCTACGGGACCAACTTGGGCTTGCATGAACTGGAAATTGTCTGGAGATGGTCCTTTATCTGAACCGGCCATTGATTCTTGAAGCTGCTGCGTATAGAATGATAGATCTGGTGGTGGTCCAGGAGGTCCCGGCATTCCAGGAACGCCTGGTGTTCCCGGAATTCCAGGCACTCCAACTTCTCCAGGGACACCGGATGGCCCCGACGGAGTCCGACCGCCAATTTGAGCGGCATCAAATTCTGGAGTTTCTGTCGTTGTTGTCGTTGTTGTCGTTGTGGTTGACGTCGTCGAAGTCGTAGGTGGAATTATTTCCACGTTTACATCGGCTTTGATCTTGGGACAGTCGGCTTCATCGCATACGATCACGCTGTTGCGGCACTGGCATGTGGCGCAACCTTTGTAGCCCGATTGGAACTGATCCTTCTCCCGGTGCCATTTACCCTCGTGATAGCAGGTGAACGGCTGTACGATCGATTCCGGTTCCAGTGGACTCACGCTTACGGTGATGTGCGGAGCTGGAACTTCACCGCGCGGGATTTCGTCATCCGGCTGGCGGAAGGTGGATTCCGTGGGGCGATTGGCTACGTGGGCGTTGAAAGAAGGAATGAGTTATTTAGGAAGATATTTCGATATTAAATTATAAAATAGTAAATTTACAATCAGAATGGTAATTGTTTCGAATAAGGCATAATTCTCGGCTTAATTCTCAACGTAGCTTCATGCTTAAAACGCAGAGATGGATACACCTCAGAACATAAAAAGAGAAAAGTAAAATAACAACTTCACTCAGTTTTCAATACCATGCGCTTTGCTTCGGCTTTCCTCTTTAAAACTGAGGACGGCTGTATGGATGACCTGCAAACAACTGTGGAAAACACATTTTGTTGACCTAAAGAGAACGAAAATGAACCACTTTGTCAAGCAGGCTTGGTGTAACTTTCTACCAGCGATTTCTCAAAACTAGACCAACAAATTACTATTTTTTTAATTAAACGCTCAAATCTTGGCTACTTTTCTCGAGGTTCTAGAAGACAAAATCTCAAAATAATGGTTTATTTCAAAGTTCGAGTGGTATTAAACATCATTTTACCTGCTCGAATGAAGTGATTAATTGTACGTAAATTCCATACGTTCCGTTTTCTTCTCTATTTGTGTCGTTTGTGCACATTGGAAGAATTCTCAAGATCTTGTGCTTTGAAAAAATAAATCTTGATCTCGTATTATACAAAAAATGCACAAGATCCTGGGACTTAGACAAACTTACAAAATCTAAGGCTAGTAACAATAGTGTTCCCCGGGTAGATCTCCTTTTCGTAGTGATACCATAGAGGTCCCGAAGAAAATCATTATTATTTTTGGCTCACTCAGTACCAGAACAACGGTCCCAAGCAGTCCCAAGCTATTTCACTCACCCCTGCATGTTCTGCATGAATCCACACACCCCTGATGTTATCTGTCAAACTTTCATAGCGAATCAAAACAAACATAGTGTAGCAATAGAATTTCAACTAGAATAGGGTACGTTAATCGTTTGGTTGGGACCAATAGGCTACTAAAGTGGTGAGCCAATTTAAAATCGTTAGTTTCGTATTGATTGTTGGTGATACTGTTTCAAATCTACCACATCGAACTCTGGCCCTGACCCTGAGCTGTCTGTTGACGGTTATGAACTTCGATTTTGAAAGGCCACCCACATTAGATCCGTTTGCGTTGCGTCGACGTAAATTTGACAGTTAGACAATAGATTTAGCTGACACTTTGCCGCAACGCGTCCGATCAGGATTTAATGTGCGTGGGCCTAGAGGGTCTCCGAAGACTTGAGATTGGAAACAAGAAATGGTTCGGATCGTCTCTTTAGAGGTCCCAGAATTCTTCGAATGCTACTGAATTTCGCAATTGAAAGAGGATTCTTGTGAGCAGAGCACGAATATCTCATTATTTTTCCATAGTACAGTCACCCAAGTATTATGGGATACCCACCATTATGGACAACTTCCATTTGATTAACACGTAGAGCTGACTGACCCATAATAGTGTAATAAGGAACTACAACATGATATGTCCCATGGACATGGACATATCATAAAAGATAGCTCAAAGTGATTTTTGACCCGAAAAAAAAAACAATAACCTTTAGATTTTAGGGCTATCGTCAATTTTCGATATCCTAGACTATATTTTTTTTTAAGATTTTAGGATGAGGTGAAGAATATGGAGGATTTGGAGAAATTTTGGAAACTTAAGACTTGGTAAAATTTTCTTGATCTCTAAATAATGGAACTATTTGATTGCAAAAAAAATGTGGAAATCAAGAAATCTCAATTGGTTTCTACACACTTAGATTTTTTGCCGAGATGGGCACCACCGAGCAACTCGGCATTTTACTTTGCTGGATCTCACTGGAAAACTTGCCGAGATTCAGCTAACAAACGGGAATTTTGCCGAGATCACAGCCAACAAATATTGGAAATTGGAACAAAATATCATGCTTGTTATTGATTTTATAAACTCCTTTGATACTGCGAAACTATTAATCACATGTGAAATTGCAGCTCGCAGCGAGTTGACTCGACCCCAAAATAATACCGTTGCACATCGTTTTCTTGTAGATAGAGATATAATAATTTGCTATCTCTCTTTACTCTTCACCCATGCCAGACACAAAATTACTTCTGCCAGTGGTGATGAAAGCTTCGGGTCACGTGCGGGTGTAAAGCAAAAACCTTGAAACTCAAACTCACCATCATAGCTGGTGAGTTTTGTTAGCTTGATATTTAGAGCAACGGTATAGGGTTGCTTCCAGTCACTTGCGATAAAAAAATATATTTCGGAATTACGCAATCATTAGCTGTTATAATGATATGTTGTACTTTTAAGTAACAAGAAGAGGGTGTAAAGTATGTGTTTGATTTATAAAATCTGTCAATTTTGCTTTCCGACCCTCACAATCAGCGATCATATGATTCGTGAGCGTTCACTCAAAGTGAGCATCTCCTAGACCCTACCTATCGAGCATCTCCTGGACCCTACCTATCGACCCATCAAACTCATGAACCGGGGACCAACGGCTTTACTTCCCATCCGAAGGAAGGCGTGATCAGAGATGTTATGCCTCAGAGCATCCCGGCGGTGCCGACTGGGATTGAACCCAGGCCTGCTGGGGTGAGAGGTAATCACGCTTACCACTACACCACCGGCGCCGTTATTTGTTCAGCACTAAAAATTTAAATTTGATTATCTTTTTTAAATGATGAAGCTAATGATGATGATGGTGCCATCTCTAACCCTGGTTTGAGCTTTTTCATTATTTTAGTATCACAATCAAGCTGGTAGAAAACATATGCTATTTAAAATAATGAAATTTTTCCATACATGTACGCCTCATAACTGATAGACGCCCAAATTCAAAGGTAAAGAATATAAATATAAATACCCTAAATAATATTACACTTCAAAGTCAAGCATACCTTTTTATGTGTCCATGTACTTTTTACATCTTTAAATTTTTTTTTTTCAAAATATATTCGCAGCGATTTCAATACTAGCCTTCATTGGGAAACATCAACTTATGTTCATTTTGTTCGATAGGGTACCAGCACAAACGAAGTGACAGACGACTAACTGGCGAAGAAATCAATTAAAATAATGTGGTTTGCTGTAATAGAATTTTCTTATAAGCTTGTGCCATCAGCCACCAGATGGGTTAGTTTTTTTGTTTTGATTTGAACAAAATTGATTTTGTGTACAATGATTCTTTGACAGTGTGCAAAGAGTGTATCATTTTGTCATTTTTTATGCATTTCAGTTTAGAGTCACTCTAGAGATAGAACCAAAACATTCTAGTAAATTTAGTGTTGCCATGTGGTACAATCATAGAGGGAACTCTAAGACCAGAAGGTACAGAAGAAACGTGCTCAACTTTTTGGCTCAGCTCTGGTACTCTCTTCGGTCCCAAGCTAATCGATGCACCCCTCGAAACATAGGAAAATCCACGAGCTTCTCATTTTATCTGTCAAACTTTCATAGCGAATCAAAACAAACATAGTGTAGTACTAGAATGTATACTAGATGGGGTGCGTTAGTCGATTTGCTTGGGACAAATAGGCTAGTCAAGTAGTGAGCCAATTTAAAATCGTTTGTTTCTACCGGTTGGTACAATCCAGTAGTAGTGGTGTTGCCATGTGGTACACTGAAAAATTGTAATAGCAGGTGCGTCACCAAAGTTTTCGAGCTACTCCGTCTATCACTTCGTGTGTGGTACCAGTTTGACAGTTCGATAAGGTTTTTTTTGCTTCACACTCTTAGCAACAATCAATACGAAACTAACGATTTTAAATTGGCTCACTACTTGACTACCCTATTGGTCCCAAGCAAATCGACTAACGCACCCCATCTAGTATACATTCTAGTACTACACTATGAGGGGTTAGTGGATTTTTCTATGTTTCGAGGGGTGAATCGATTAGCTTGGGACCGAAGATAGTACCAGAGCTGAGCCAAAAAGTTGAGCTCGTCTCTTCGTGACCTTCTGGTCTTAGAGTTACCTCTATGCTCTTAGCCTCTCTTCCTATTCTCTCTGGTAATATCATCCGCTGCCTTTTGCTTGTTGATATTTGTCCACGAAAATCAAGCGTGATCAACATTGATTTAAAATATCCATTAAGAGGCTGGAACTTGGCAAAAATTCCGAGACTGCGATTTTGGATAGTAAATTGAGATGCCAGACTTGATACGCTCAGTTCAAAACAGAGAATAATTTCAACGATTAACTTGGAAAATAATTTTGCATTTCTGATTATTTTTTGACAGTATTTGTTGACATTGGTACATTTTTTTTAAATTTCAAGCACATAAAAAATCATAAATCTGTTATCGGGAAACATTTCTAGATTGAGTCTCCAATGTATCTTGAATCATTAAAAAATCCCTCACTATTTAACTATTTCACGCTACTAATTCATTTAGTTGTCTGATGTCTAATGTCTGATGCCAACATAAGTATGTAATCATATTGTAGAGCAGTTTTAAGCCAACCTTCTTTCAAAGATTTTAAGAAAATGAAGCAATAAACTCCAGGACCTGATTTTATCAAGTTTCTAGGAGAAAAAATATCAAAATATTATTCCACGACAAAGTTCGACTTATAGGAAACAACATTTTAAACTGCTCCAATGATGCAATTCATTGATTCTAAAATGATCATTGAAATGTGTTATTTCGTGAAAACACTGGATGTGGATCTCGTTCAGATAGAAGCAACTTACCAGATTGCGAAGAAGCAAGCGCCTTTCAAATGTTTAAGTCAGAACAATCGATGGTCCATGCATTGACGTTTACCTTGGAAGATTTATTTATTCATAATGTGAATTTAAAGACATTGCAGGTACACATGTCACATGTGTGAAATTAGGATCAATTTGTGAAAGTGTATGATCTTCCATCCAAATTCCCGACAGTGATCTAGCGTTGATGCTGTGAATAGTGTGCGGGATAGTGAAGCGTGTCATCCGGGAGGATTTCGCTCCGGAGTGAGCGAGTGGTATACATGGAGGTGAAAGGGGAGATTCCCTTTTCGCTTATTTCCCTCAATTGGAATACATTTAATAACGGGAATAAGGATAACCGCTTCCTATATCAGATGGAGGGGCATCGAATGAATTCCTGTCGTAAGCAGAAGTAACAAAGGAACTAGGAATAGAACAAATTTTGGGCCTACTGAACATAACCCGCCCTTTGCCTCTATTTTTCGAGTGTATTTTTTCTTTTCACAAAATTGAATTTTTTCTCTGCAGATGTCTTCTAAACTTATTAACCTTTCCGTACGTACCGTAAGATTGGATTATTGGGATATTGTTAGAAATCTAACACTGTTTCTTGACCCCAAACTCGGCCTACGGATACTAAACTCGACCTAACGCATTGAAACGCCATTCAAACGCCTTTGAATTCAGTTTGGTCTATCGGATGAAGATAAAAATTGATTCAGTGGGAGCGCTTCTTTTGTTTTTGAGCACAATACCACGCGTTCTCATTGGCTTAGTTCGGTAGCTTTTGAACTAAACATGGATCATGGATTTATTTGATGTTTTGTGCTCGATAGACCCAAAATGGACGATTAGGCTACTACTACTACTAACATCGAGCTCAGACATTTTGTTCCATGCTTATTTAACTTTCATGTTAACCATAATGTAAAGTCTAGACCTCTGCTTTCAACGAAGAATACAATTTGCTGAATGTCATTCAATTTTTGTGAAATGGTGTTGAAATTACAAAAAGGCTGCAATACAAACTGTTTACAAAATGACATTTTCGGCAAAATTGTCCAAAACTGTTTGAAAACGATTTTAAATCGCTCCAATCTTCTCAGGTGAGTGTGACTATTGTCAGCAACATCTTTTTCTACGGAAACCTTTCCATTTGAACTGAGTGTTATTTTTTTTCCTCTGTTCGGGACTTAACACCACTGCCATCAGTAATTTGATCTCTTGTAGTATATCCCGTGTCGTAAGTTAAGTGCATGTCGTATAACTTCATCACTATTGAGAAATGATGGAGTATTCGATTTTGATACAGTTGTCATTCTTGCATTTATCACAAGGATCCGACTCTAATTGAAAGGTCCCGCTATTTATACCCTTCGGAGTGTTGAAACATCCTGCAAAGGCGGGCCCCTTTGTCAATCTAAATTGGATTCCTTAGCAACAAAATTAAGGAATGACACCGATAATGACCATGCATCAGAACCCTAGTTTTAACCTCTTCAAACTAGAAATCAACGAATAGAAGATTAGGAATCACATAGATGAAGACTTACTAACTCATTTTTTTTTCTTCTTTCAAGATCATCCTCGGTGGACAAAGCCGAGTCTTGTCACTATCAACAAGGCATAAAAAGTAACAAGGACTAAAATGTGTTCCTTGGATTACTGAAAAATCCTGTTCCCCTAGTTTGAAGTAGTCAGGGCTAGGAATCGGTGGCAGATCTTACATCCCGTAACGTACCACGAAAAGGTGATCTACCCATGTTACGGGACAATTGAGTGTTAACTAGCTGTTCTATTATCGACAACTTGAAATCGGCTGCAGTTTGTCGTATGTTTCATTTCAAGAAAAACCTTGCAAAATGCGTTTGCTCAGTCGTAACAATCTAATGACATTGAAGCTGAAAGACTAGGGAATCACTTAAATACATGTTGATGCAGTCGAAAGTGTAGACAGAACACGAAATAAAATAGACAAAAAAAATCATTGCATCGTCTGCATGACCAAATTATATGATTCTCTGAAATATTCGCTGCGAAGAGTAATAGGGAATGCAACAAACATTGAATGTAATACATTTTTGGTTTGCGTGTATTAACGAGAATTTCAGCTGTGGGCTGGTTTATCTCCCAATGTAATTTTGGTTTTGAACGAACCTGCTTTTGAATTTTTAAAAACTAATGACGTCTCTCTTAAGGGGTTTTAGGGTCACATTGCTCGTTGTGTGTTTTGTGACACTTGTCATCGTCAGCGCCGGATTTGAATGGTTACAGCAACATAAGTATCATTAGTGGTGTGATGTGATATGAAAGATTCGGTGGCCTTAGAGCGACCGTTTTTGCGTTCTATGCAGAAGATAATGAGTTTAACATCAGACACCTCCCCATTCAGGAGTCGTTAATCGAGTCGTGACAGCCAAAATCGAATTCCTTAGCGACAAAATCAAGCTTGACACTGATATTGACCATGCATCAGAATCCTAGTCTTATCCACTTCAAACTAGAGAACAACGAAGAGAAGATTAGGAAGACTGACCCATTTTTTTCCTTGTTTCAAGATCATTATCGGTGGAATGCGACCCGAGTCTTTTCACTATCAACATGGCATAAAACGTAACAAGGACAAAGATATGATCTTTTCATTACTGAAAAAAAACTGTTCCCTGTTTTGAAGAGCAAGGATGGTTCACCAGGTCTAATTCCACTAGGCCGAACACCATTAGGCCGAATTGGTCACTAGGCAAATTTAAATATTTGCTCCCATTCTGCATTGCTACAATTTGATAAATTAATGAGCAGCAAAACGATGACAACATTATTGGATTTATGTTGGACCATGTTTCATTGGGGATGTCAACAATTATTGCTTATATATACACTTAGGTCTATAGGCGTCTAATACTTGGCCTACAAGGCTTGCCAAAAGGCTTGAAGATTCAGATATCATAATTTTGCACGGTGAGGTATGGGATTGGCATTTTTAAATGGTTTTATTATTTTTTCGATGATTGTACGGGTAGCAAGAACTACAGGGCTACTCAATAGGCGTATTTTATTAAATATTCGATATTTTTAAAAAATAAGTGATGAATGTGGTTGAAATAGGTTTGTATCGACTTATATCCCCCACAGTAACAATCAATTGAAATTAATTCGAAAAATATAAACATTTTGAAAAATTTCCCATAACTCTCCGTGGAGAATTTTGAAATCTGCATCGTCAAGCCTTTTTTATTAGATGGCCGTGAGAAACCAAGTTTGTAACGCCTATTGCCCCACCTTATTCTAACCGCCTCTCAGTTCCACTTACCAGTTTCTGCATCGTAATCCCGCTCCCCATCACCGTAGTCGTAGTTATCGTAGTTGTCGTACTCCGAGTACGACGGTGGTGCATCTGCCTGGGGTCTCTCCTTCGGCTTCAGAGATTTCAGCTTGCCGACTTTTTTCGTCCTCTTCTTCACCTTCCTAACCTTGACCTGAACCGTTTCCTCGTCTTCACATCGCATCTGCTCGACTAGTATCACAGTTATCAAAAGTAGCGGCAGCAGTGCCGTATGCTTAATTCGAAACTTCATTTCTGAACTGGGCGATTGCTTACGGCAGCAGTATGTACACTTAGCACATTGTTTCTGAATTCACGAACACTTCCTGGTGGTGGGCACGCAGAGGCGCTTGCGTGGGCTAGGAACGTTGATCCTGGGGAATAGAACGAAACTCAAAATTTTGCACTAATCGCACTCGCACTTTTTTTTGGTCCTAGGTTGATAAGAGAGCATACTGAAAGTCGGTTAAAACCGTTCCGGCGCAAGGAAACGCGGAAGACAAGAGTTGAGTAATTTTGCGTTTATTTCTATGGTTCACTGATAACACGGCTTGTTTTAGAATTTCAAACTGGCTGCTGCATCTCAAGTTTTTGGCGGTTATTTATGTGGTCCATTCGCATGCTGGCCGGTCTAATTATGTTCTAATAAAATTATGTCACTCTGCGAATGAACTCGTTGATAAGGTTTCTGAACTTTTTGATAATTTCACAGTTAAGCAGCATGGAAAGGGTGAAGTTGATAGCGATTTGATTTGATTTTTTTTCTTCAAAAAAACTTGTGATTTTTAGTCATGATTCACTGATTTTGAAGTACACATCGCACGTTAAGTGTTACGCAGGGATTACGCTAATTTGTATCCACTTAAATATTCTAGTATTCATAGAACTACGATCATTTCCGGTTATCCAAGCACGTGTTTTCGATATATTTCGTTCGAATATTTGAACAGCTTCTCCATCGGCTCTGCCGAAACCCGTGATCTAATCCAACTCGAACACTCACTTCTTCCAGATATCCTCTTTGGAAGAAGACAGGAATCACTGCTGCATCACTTCCAAAAATCCACTTGATGACCAACAATTTCCAACTTTCACTTTAATCACTACCCGAGCCAAATTTCCAAACCGCGCGCGCGAGAAGATCCAGAACAACTGAATTTGTTCTCGCCCATGGGGAGCTTTTTATAGCGAGAATTGCGCCAACGCATGTTCATCTGTGACTTGCTGGACCCAAGATCGCCATCGCAGACTCTTCGGGCGATCTTGGCGCGGTTGGTGCTGGCGAAATGAGAGTGAGGGCTAGATTGAATTTTGTAGCAATATGATTACTATTCCATACGATTTTTTTGAGACGGCGAATACGAGAGGTTTTGGGAAAACTTTGATGAATTAAAATATCCAAACGACGACGATCACGTTTTCTTGACTCTTAATGTCCCATGGAGACGCATGGTTCTGTAGACGTTTTCATCCGAGATCAAAATTCTCAGTTTGTAAATTTGTGACGAATGAACTTAACATAAACTCTTTTGAGCATTGTTACACAGACTGATGATCTTGCTCAACTTCATTTGCAAATTACGACTAATCGATATAGCACATGTGCAACACTAACCGGAATGCACCAAAAATTCTCGATTTATGCTAGAACACTACCCATTCCTAGCTTTTTTCGTCTCAAACGCGCGATGACCTCATAACCCATTCGAACGGAATGATAATCGCTAAAACATACTTTGCAAAACAATGTTGAACACGAACGAGCAAGGCCCACAAACCGTTCAATTGCACTAAATCGAGTCAATCGAATTGAAGTCCACCGGCAATTAGGAAGAAGGCACACGCTGCACTTCTCCTACATAGTATGCATAGACCCAGTTCGCACTCGTGTGCATTCTAATCAAAGTGCGTCTCCTGCAGCCATCACAGCACATCATGAATCTCAATGAATCTAAAAAGCATTTTTCACACGTTTTCTCATCAGCCCATTTCGCGTCCCGCTTCCTCTCTCTCTCTCTCTCTGGTGACTTCATCTCCGTTTGTTCTTCGTTCATTCAGAAGTTCTCGGTCTTCCTTATGAGAGTTTAGTATGGGTGAATGTGGAGCAAGTTGGTTTTCGCATCATCTTATCGGCAAACAGCGATCGGATCGTAGGGCGCGCGAAAGATCTCAGCTGATGGCGACAAGCAAGAGTGACTGTATCGATCACTTCATCAAATGGAAGTAGCGTGTGGCATTTAGCGGAGTTCGGCGGCCTGTAGCAGGGATCATGTGTGTGAGGGTGTGAGAGCGTCGCTTGATTTATGTTGGGATTTATTAAATTAGGTAAAATTCTCAGCTTTTTGTAGCGTGAGTAAACGCTTATTTTTTGAAAATGATTCTTGTCGAAATGTTTACTTCGTTATACGGTATCAGTATTAATATAAATAAAAAAACAACTAAGAAGAGGTAAGACGAGTAACAACTGAAAGGAACTAAAAGAAGAAAATTTTCAAGTATAATTAGAATAACTTTAAGTCTGATATCTGAAATTAAGAATCTCCAACTATGTCAATCGTTAACTTCACGCATGAAGTAAATAAAACATGATTAGGGGAAACAGCCCCATTGTTGTGATACGTTAGCAGCGTTAGAAGCCTATTGTTGAGCATGGAGACCGCTGCTAACGTACCGCAACAATAGGGCTGTTTCCCCTGGTTAAAGAATTTTTAATTTAATTTTATTTTTTATTTGCTATAGGAGATACAAAATGCCATCTTTTGCACTGTTGGTCATGGTGTAAAAATGATAGACAAAAAGTTTAGATTTTTTGAAAAACTGAAATTTTTGGAATAGTATCTAAAAATTGTCCAATTTTTCTTTTGTATTGAGATAATGAAACAATATTTTTGCAATAAAAAAGCACAAACATAAAAGATTTCTAAGTGACTACGTTTTCGAGATGTAGTGATTTTAATTGTTTTAGAAATGTTGATAATATTTGGAACTTTTCGAATGTAAACCATTGCCCACTTAGTAACGGAACAAACTATTTTGCTTATTACAGCGCGCCTAGTGGACGTGTTCTGAAGCTTTTGACGTCTACAAGGGGTACGTCACTCAGCACATTGTGCCGAAATTAGATTTGGCACAGCTTGAACACATCCATCGGCACACCTTCGGCACAATTTCGTAGGCATTGGATTGTTGTAAATAAAATGGGAGCACTGCTGGACAACTGTATTAAAGTTGTTCACAATAATACGTATTGTTTGACTGTATATTTTAGGAACATCCTCTAATTGACTATACCAGAGTAACTCAGACCAGCAGTTCACATATAGATTTAAATACGAACTGTAGGTTCTAGAGTGGGCTCAAGAGAATAAAGCGGTTAATCAGAGCTCATCAGTACCCTTAATTCAAATAATGCTGCAAATCTCACAAAAAAAAATTAAAGAAGTCTATTCATCATCCTCTATAGTCGCTCTCCAACAATGCTCCCCACCGGTTCCAACTCTTTCCGGCCGCTGATAGACCGATGCATTTCACATCACGAAAGGCTAGGTTTCTGGTCTGCCTTCGAGGCCATTACAAAACACTAAAACACAGGACGTTTATTACCCTATGAACACTGTTATACCCCGTACAGGCTATGACTTATATCATGTTATATAGGATGTCTTGCAATGAACACTCATACATAAGATTTCCAGTGAAAACTAGATATAAAGGGTGATACGGTCAAAATTTGGTCAATATCAACTTGACGTATTTCTTTCAATTTTGCATTTAAAAAACCTGAACACCCCTCATTTTGAAGGTGTGTGTGTGTAGAATGTTGCTCCTATTTTGATTTTGGAATTCACTCTTCAGTTGTCAAAATGCCGTCCAAGCAAGAAGAGCAGCGTATCAAAATTTTGCTCGCGCATCGCGAAAATCCGAGCTACTCGCACGCAAAGTTGGCAAAATCGCTAAAAGTTGCCAAATCAACCGTTACAAATGTAATTAAAGTGTTTGGGGAACGTTTGTCGACAGCCAGGAAGTCTGGATCGGGGGGAAATCGAAAACCGGAAGCCGCTGAGACGACAAAGAGAGTTGCCGGTAGTTTCAAGCGAAACCCTAACCTCTCTCTCCGAGATGCCGCAAATAAGCTGGGTGTATCGTCTACAACCGTGCATCGAGCCAAAAAACGAGCCGGACTATCGACTTACAAGAAGGTAGTGACTCCAAATCGCGATGATAAACAAAATACGACGGCCAAAGCGCGATCCCGGAGGCTGTACACGACGATGCTGACGAAGTTTGACTGCGTGGTAATGGACGACGAAACCTACGTCAAAGCCGACTACAAGCAGCTTCCGGGACAGGAGTTTTATACGGCAAAAGGAAGGGGAAAGGTAGCAGATGTTTTCAAGCACATGAAACTGTCAAAGTTCGCAAAGAAATATCTGGTTTGGCAAGCCATCTGTACCTGTGGCTTGAAAAGCAGCATTTTCATAGCTTCCGGGACTGTCAACCAAGAAATTTACGTGAAAGAGTGTTTGAATAAACGTCTGCTGCCTATCCTGAAGAAACACGGTTGTTCCGTACTGTTTTGGTCGGATTTGGCATCTTGCCATTACGGTAAAAAGGCCATGGAGTGGTACGCCACCAACAACGTGCAGGTGGTTCCCAAGGACAAGAACCCTCCCAACACGCCAGAGCTCCGCCCAATTGAGAAATACTGGGCTATTGTCAAGCGGAACCTAAAGAAGACCAAAAAAACTGCTAAGGGCGAGCAGCAGTTCAAGGCAAACTGGCTTTCTGCGGCGAAGAAGGTGGACAAGGTGGCTGTACAAAATCTGATGGCAGGGGTCAAGCGTAAGGCCCGGCAATTCGGATTTGGAAAAGCGGAAGCCTAACTGAATATTTTTCCTGAATTTTATACTAATTGAACTTGAAAAAGAAATTTAATTTGATTTTTTAAATAAACGATTTCACCGATTTACACGCGTTTTCCCTTGACCAAATTTTGACCGTATCACCCTTTATGAGTGCTCATTGCAAGACAGCCTATATTACATGATATAAGCCATAGCTACCGATCGAGTCAGCTGTGTGGCACATAGATACGTAGAATGAGTAGTAGAAAGAAAAATATCAGTACAAATAACCCGTCACGGAGTAAACACTTCGTCCTTTGTCTTAATAAAGCTGTAATTAGTGTTTTATGTTGTGCAAAAACGTCCTTTTCCTGTGTCCGAAGTATTTTGACCGCGACGGGCGCGAACATTTTGGTCCCGGATATTTAAAAAAATTCTAGTTCTCTCAAAGGAAAGCTGTTTGGTCTCGGAAGTCTGCTGGAATTTTCGGCTTCACTCTAATGCAGGGTACACACTCGTGGATGAATTTCCGGACAATATTCCGGACGCTTGTTGGCCAGAATCGTTCTCGAATAGACGAAATCATGCGCTGCTGTCCACCATGCAGCATCTTAAAAATGGTAGTGGACGACGACGAAGTGTGTGAACGGATGATGTTGGTCGTGAATGTACGGGTGTTTGCGACGGGTAGTAATCGATGCGTGACGAAGCCGGCCGCCGCGTTAACGGCGCCGGTGGTGTAGTGGTAAGCGTGATTACCTCTCACCCCAGCAGGCCTGGGTTCAATCCCAGTCGGCGCCGCCGGGATGTTCTGAGGCATAACATCTCTGATCACGCCTTCCTTCGGATGGGAAGTAAAGCCGTTGGTCCCCGGTTCATGAGTTGATGGGTCGATAGGTAGGGTCCAGGTGTGGGAGCTGCCTTCCTAGCACGTCGGTAGCATTGGTGCTCAGCACGGAAAACAAGATCGACGGAAAAAAACAAACCAAAGGAAGCCGGCCGCCAACGGAGATTATTCCGTCTTGCACTTGTTCAGAGACAGAATCTTCGATGATTCTCGAACTTCTCTATCATTCTTCAGATCTATTAGCTCCTCCCAACAAACAATTTGAGCTGAATTGCTGAAGAAGCTAAATTTTGCATCAACAAGCTCTTATTCAGCTTTCAATGTTTCTTGGGCTGCGAAAACGTTCTCGTATCAATACCTCCAGAGCATCATCAAGTTCGCGCGTTGTGAGGAATCCAGTTGCCGATACGCTTTTGGCTTCGAGATTCACGGGATCGAATTCCT